AGAATGAGAAGGTCAGGATATTATTTTTAGATTCCCAGGTAGAACTCAATGGAATGTGGCGGTGTTGCCATATGTCCACATACAGTTATCTTTTCAGAACAAAGCAGTGCAAACCGCATTCCGCTGGCGTTATTCGTTAAAAAGTTATGGGCTACAAAAATTAAGCTTGCAGCCGACGTACACTGTACCGATATCCACTAGGGGGTATTTATGCCTCACGAATTTTCACGTCGGTCCGCGCGTAGAGGTTAAGGTACCGGATCCAAAGTTACAAAGCATTTCCACGCCACGTGGCTCAACACGTCATTGAATCTCCCTAAACTTGATGCCGCTGGAGGCTCACACAGTAGCGAAAGTGTTAAAATAGTATTTTCTTAAGATTTTATATTGGAGTTGGTAAAGATGTACCGACTCCGACTCCACAGCCTTGGTACTTACTACCACATTGTAATGTTGTCATGTCCATCCTCTTATGTAATTCAGTGCTAAATAATCTCTGCCCATGGTAGAGAGTCTGAACTAGTCATCATTTTCTTCCATTACTTCTGTAAATAGTAACATTTTGCTTCCTTAAGTAAGGCTCTTCTTTTCTTTGGACCTCTGATCATTATCAACGCTGCCATCCCTGTTCTCTGCCTTATCATTATTGTGTTCATGGATTATATTGTTTAACCTGTCATGGCTCCAAATGTAATTCTCCGGATTAAAATCTTTACTCCCAAGGAGTCTGCTGCTGGTGTCCCTTCAGCAGTGCACTGTTTACATTATGGCATGACAAATGATTTATTTATGTTTAAGCAAAAGCAAATGTACCGTCTAGTGACAGGAGACAGAAGTGCATTCTAAAGGAGATAATGTCTGAAGATATCCGTCTTCTGGGTTGTTGCGCTGTGTAGTCTGGTCGATGTTAACCAACGTTTCAGAGGTCATACTGCCTCCGTCATCAGGGCGATCGCCCTGATGACCGCTGTGAGAACCTCAAGTCTTACGAGATAATGTCTGTTCACAAGGTGTTCTCTCCAAGAAATTTCATGTATAGTAGTCTGAACAAAACGCTAGTAAATTACCAAATGCAGATACATTGGACTTGTGTAAATATAAAACTGTGAATTCTGATTTCTCCATGGTTAATGAACATCCTTGTACTTGTCGTTGTGTGGATTGATATTTATAGACACATTGGGGACACATTCATTGTGTTTTTCCTATGCAATAAACATATGTCTACTTGAGTCATGCTTTTGTTGTGTATAGGTATATGAGGAGGAAGAAAGTAGCAGTGCAGTGGACATTGCCATCATTGTGGCACCCATTGTCGGTCTGATCCTCCTTGTCGTAGCAGTGGGACTTAGCGTGTTCATTAAAATGGCTCGCAAGAAGCGGGCAACACGAGGCACATACAGTCCTAGTCAGCAGGAGTATTGTAACCCTCGTGTGGAGATGGACAATGTGATGAAACCACCACCAGAAGAAAGGCTCATCTAGGTTTTTTGGTCTCGTATTTAAATGAAAATTTCAGCTGTAGAATGAATCTCTCTTTGGAAGGAAACACAAGTTTTCAGCTGAAAGTCTCAGTGGACTGCAACTGTTGAAAAGTGGGATTAGAGCTTGAAATGAAAATCAAGTTTTAAACCATGACAGAATGATTTGTAACACCTTAATATTATTTTATATTCATCTCTTTTAACCCCTTAAGTGTGGGTGAAATTTATACCATTGCATCACTGGGTGGGGCTTTTTTATTCCATTAAAAGTAATGTTGAATTTTTTTATATATTATGAACAATACATATTTATTAGTTATGGAAAACAAACTTTTCATGTTGTTTAAATTTTTAGGAATTTTACTAACAATTTCACCACATTTTTAAAACATTTTTCATTTGTTTTCCCATGCTATTTCCATTAGCTTTAGTGGAGTAATTCACCATAAATTCTTATTAATGTCTTGCAGGACCTACTGTTCACATAATTCAAGAAGTCATTTGCAATTCTATCAAATTAAGAGAAAATCATTACACCAAAAACTACTGTTCTGTCTTGTGTGGTTGCCTGTTTCACCCCTACCATCCAAATCTCAGTGTAAGGTCATATACTATGACTTAGAGCAGCATCACTGAGTTAAAGAAATTTCGCTAGATGTCAGAACACTCGATTGAGGCATGACAGAAATAGTGTGCATATATAAGCTTAGCCCACTGAGAAACAGAATTTTTTCTAAATAGTGCATATATGCACTCTCCCCACCGGGTGGGCATTAACCAACCACGCATGTATGTGCTTAGCCCACTTAAGGGGTTAATCTTGAGCCTGTATCTTTTTATTGATTTTTACTGACCAGAAGTATTATGTGTTTTAAGGGCATGAATGTTCAAACAGTAGCCTTGGTTACTTTTCTTAATTACCATGGTTGTACACAGTTACTATTCAAGACACAGTGACTGTTTTGTCTTTGTTCTATTACCCAGCTACTATTTGACACCTGACATCTATTTTCAATTTGTTGATTTAAATAAATTGTTGCCTGTAATTTTGCATTTGTATTTCAGAATAGTATAAAACAGAACTTTATTCATAACTTTGTTATAAACTAAATAAGGGTTATAATTGTATAGAACAATTGCCTGTTCTATGTTCTTAACCCTTTGTTTACTGAAGTTGGAACAAGATGATAGTGTGACCCACGATGCATGATACTGCAGCAGCGAGGATTCTGATTGTCTTTACTTTAACCCGTAGACTTCTATTTGATCTTGTCTTCTCAGAATCCTTTTTAAAATCACTTCAAAATAAATTTCAAAAACTTGTTACAGTACATCAGTTCCAACAATTAAGGTACTATGACTTTTAACCAGCGGTATTTTACAGACATTAAGGCAGCTAACATCACCTGATGGAGGTAACATCCTGCAGATGTCAGAGTGTGCCAGTGTGTTAATAGAACAATCAGTGCTTTTAGCTGGTAGGCAATCAATTTTGAATGCAGGTTCAAGGTTCTTTACTAGGTATTTTTTTATTTTTATGTATGTACATGGTAGTTTATTTCAGAGATTTCCCAATGCTGATGGATCTCAGGTTGGCAGGTTCACCCAATTATGGAATTGGAAGTCTTAACCTTTTTGGTGCAAGCCTCTGAAGATCTTACTTGGGCAAAAGATGCCAGTGAGGTTTTGTTAAGATTTTAAATTTTGATCTTGAATGAAATTTATTAAATTTGTATTGTTCAGAAGTGACATGCTTATTTTGCCTGTCATTACTGGTTCATTTCTTTGCCTCTAGTGCAGTGTGATGATTGCAGGAAACACCAGTTTCAGCATTGCAAGGGTTAAACGTTGCTGTAGCAAGACTGTAATTACTGTAATTTTTTTGGCACAGATCATACCATGATAAGATACCTGCTGCCATTCCATTGTTAATATTTTTGTTTTGAATTTTAATCCTTTCAGAACTGATGGTTAAGAATTTCATTTCCCAATTAACCATAATTTTTTGTATGTAAATGTGTACATTCTATTTTATATCCATGGGCCTATGTACAAAAATTTATTTTTTAATAACTTCATTTACTTCTGCAGAAATGTACTGATATTGTAACTGACCAGTATACCAGCTTATCCATATTGTAGTTTGATCCATTAGTGAAATCAATAGTTTTGAATCAGAAAATCTTAGTGTTCAGTCAGAAATTACTACAGCAAAGGCAAAGTCATAATTATTGAATTTTTATAGTGAATAATGTATATCAGTTCTTCACCACATTTCTGTAGGATTTGCATTTATGTGTGCAGATATTGTAATTTTGAAGTCTGGTCACACTTGCCACAGAAATAGATTATTGCTCTCTGCGTTAGTTTACTGGGTGTCTGCAGTCAGTTGTAGTGATTTAGGCTGTGATCATTACAGCCTGGTTTATGTAATGACAGCAGATAGTCACCAATGAGATAGCATTTTTTGTGATGGTGTTTGCTCCATAGTTTCCTTCATGCTTCCAGCCCCCTTCTTGAGACTTGATAATTAGTGACAGGAACAATAATATCCCAGAAATCTTTGAAGACAATAAAAATGTCCTACAAATTTGTTGCTAGCTAACAAGGGACAAAATGGGTCTCTGAACAGACTGCATCAAGGAAAGATTATATTTTGCATTACCTGTAGCAGACCAATTACTTGTATATATAATACAATGATGATAACAGTTTATGTTGCCAAATGCAATTTTTATTTCAAATTTTAAACATATCTTTTGTATCCATATTGACAAAGGTCCGAGCAATATTTTGAATGAAATTAAGCCCTGGGAGTTTGTGTAATAATGTGTACATACTGTAATCACTTTCATAACCAAAGAGTTTCCTCTTATTTTATGATACTCATTGATAACAGTGAGTTCAACCAGACAGCCGTCCAGTGTGTGTGTGTGTGTATATGTGAGCATATGCTGTAAATATATGTACAGTGTTCGAACAAGTGACAACTGTGAACAAAACACAACAATGCTATTAAAAGTGTGTGCATGAAATGGTGTAAAATATGTACATCTTCATATTAACATTGCAGCATAAAACATGAAATATTGAAGTAGCTTTATTTGGGTCTTTGACATCTGAGTTTTGTAACGTGCTGGTTTGATGCCTAAATTTGTGATAATTTAGGAATGTGTCATGCTGTCGGCACTGCAGCTTGATTCAGACCATACCCATTTCTACTGTCCAGGTGTTCTAGATTCTTATGAAGACAAGGTGTAGGATCTCAAGAAATGCTGGAAATTGTCCAAAAAGCGCACAAAACTAAAAAAAATGCAACTTGAAATTTTTTTCAAATATTTTGAAAACTTTTGGTCTTGTGCTCTTTTTAGACAGTTTGCAGCATTTTTGATTTTTCAAAAATCTCACAACCGGTCCTCACCAGAACAGGTCTCCGCTTGACTCGGTCTCTTCCACACCGTTACAACTAGACCCGCTCTCTGCCACAAATGATCTCTGCTTCACCAGCTGTCTGCCGGGCTCGGTCTCTGCCTCACTCGGTGCCAGCAGAGACCGAGTCATGCAGACACCAATTCTTGCAAGGATCGTGTGGGGAGAATTTCGAAAAATATATCTTTTAAAATTTTCAAAAATCAGAAATGTAGGAAAATGTCCGAAAAGCGCACAAAACTAATTTTTTTAAAAATTCCGATTTTTTTTTAAATTATCGAAAATGTTTAGTTATCTTCTCTAAAACTAACATTTATAACCATTTTTAAATTTCTTTAAATTTTTGAAAATTTCAAATTCCTACTGTCTTAGAAAATTAAAAATGTAGGAAAATGTCCAAAGCGCAAAAATTAAAACAATTGAAACTTTTCAATTTCTTAATTTTTTTCGAATTTTTTTAAAACTTGGAAGGTATTTTTTCAAGTTTGAGCTAACCCATCCCTATTAGAACTAGATTCTGCCGTACCCGCTCTCTTCCACTGTCTACTTCACACAGTCTCAGCCGGACTCGGTCTGTGCCACAACTGGTGTCTGCTTTACTCGAAGTGATTCACCAAGTCTTTGCTTGACTCCGTCTCTGATTCACCCGGTCTCTGAGTGAATCGGTGTTTGCCTCAACGGTCTTTTCTAGATACGGTGTGTGCTTCACCCGGTATCTGCTTGACACGGTCACTGCATCACACAGTTTCTTCCACACACCTGTCACACGATGTCTACGTCTCCCGTTCTCTACCGGTCTCGGTCTCTGCTGTAACCGTTCATTACAGAGACGGACCGGTAGAGATAGTGTCAGACAGAGACGGGTCTTGCAGAGCACTACTCCGTTAGAGACCGGGTACGTCAAAGACCAGGTCTGGCGGAGACCGTTTCTCACAGAGGGTCGGTACGGGAGAATTATGTAAAAACTTCAAAATTTCAAGAAATCGAAAAATGCAGGAAATTGCCCAAAACGCCCACAAAACCAAAAAAATTGAAAAACTTTAAATAATTTTGTGCGCTTTTTAGATAATTTCCAGCATTTTTCGATTTTTAAAAACCGGTTCTGCAAGGCATCAGGTGGGTGGAATTTTGAATTCAAAATTTTCAAAAAATCAAAAAATACTGGAAATTGTCCAAAACGCGAACAAAACCAAAAAAAATTGAATAATTTCACATTCAAAATTTTTCAAAAATTTCAAAGAATTTTTGATTTCGTGCGCTTTTCACACAATTTCCAAAAATTTTGATTTTCTTAGTTACTATCGCCTTTCACAACATTTAGAACCATTTTTATTTTTAAGAAAAATTCAAAGGGGTAATCTTGAAAAATTGTATATATTTCTAAACTCTCCCCAAGAGATGCCTGCCAAACTCGATGGATGCCTCACCCTGTCTCTGCCGAACACGGCCTCTGTCTCACCCGGTTGCTGACTGCCTCGGTGTCTGCACCAATCGGCCTCTGCAGGACTCGGTCTGTGCTGGTGTGGGTCTCTGCCTTACCTGTTGTCTGCCGCACCTGCGCTTTTCAGACTCGGCACGTCAGTGCCGTGTCATACAGAGCCCGAGTCAGGCACAGACCTCATTGGTCAGAGACACAGAACATCAGAAACATTCCGAGAGAGACCGGTTCTGCAAGGCATCAGGTGGGTGGAATTTTGAAAAATTTAAAAAAATCAAAAAATACTGTAAATTGTCCAAAAAGCGCATAAAACCAAAAAAGAGAAAAAAATTCACATTCAATTTTTTTTAAAATTCTTTGGTTTTGTGAGCTTTTCATACAATTTCCAAAAAAAATTGATTTTTTCGAAAAAATTTAAAAATTTGATTGTTTTTTCTAAAATCCCCAGGAGAAAACTGCCAAACTCGATGGAAGCCCCACCCTGTCTCTGCCGAACTCCGCCTCTATCTCACCCGGTTGCTGTGAGCTTCAGTGTGTGCACCAATCGGCCCCTGCAGGACTCGGTCTGTGCTGGTTTGGGTCTCTGCCTTACGTGTTGTCTGCCGCACCTGCGCTTTTCAGTCGGAACGTCATTGCCGTGTTATACAGACACCGTATCTTGCAGAGAGCGAGTCCGTTAGACACCGCGTCCGACAGAGAAGGGACGTGCAAAGACCGGTCCTGGCCTGGATGTTATGGAGAAACTTTTGACAAAAATTATAAGAA